GGAAGAGCTTGATCAGGTTCAGGTAATAGGGCTGCTCTCAGCAATAGAGCTTCAGCAGGTAGTAGATACATGCTTCCAGAAGGATAACATAATTGATGGCATCCTACCCCACATCCGGCTTCTGATAACAGCAGATCTGTCCCCAGCGGGTGAGGGATGAATCCATGATGTCATCTGTCACCAGGAAGAAAGCTTGCAGCAGTTCCAGACACCAGCCTACATTCAGGGCCCGCTGGAGACTATCAGCATCCTGTGTCCTTGGCTCCATCAGCTCCAGGAACACTACTAGCATTGTCAAACCCCGGTGATACTTGTCTCCAATGGTATTGTACTCCAGGACCACCTTGAGCCGGACAATAGCATCTCCTCTCTCTGGGTGCCCCATCTCATCCTCAGTCAGCACCCCGAAGATCTGGGAAAAGTGCTGAAAGAAATCCCGCTTTTATTGGGCATAAACATGTGATTTCTGGTCTCCATTCATTCTGAGGGAGGAGCATAGGGCTCTGTTCCTGGATGCGGGTTCCTGCCATATCTATCTGTGTATGTACACTAAAAACCATGTGCTCATACCTCGGATTGACACCTCTGATTCTAATCCAAAACAACAGAGGTCATTCTAGCCTTCCCCCTTTTCTTATTTATAACTTGTGTTTCCAACAGGGAGAATCCCGATTGTCATTAGTCACAACAACTTTACTTATTTGTTCAATGATACACAGATACAGATAAGGTAGATTCACACTTGCTAATTTATACCCCTGTGAAAAACAAATGTACTAACTAGAGGACAATATTTGTATGAAGTGTTTTTGTCTTTAGTCTTATGACATAGTCAAAATAAAAGTTTCCTAAATTACTTAAGTGAGTGATTTTCTTCTCCACCCACTTTGTGATGGTGATGTTAGTCACTTATAACACATTTTTTTTTTTTTTTCTGCTTGCATTCTATTTTGGCTTGCCTCCACACCCTGGTTGACTGTATGTGTGTATGTGAAACATTACCATGGTTCTGAGTCAGAACTATATACAAAACTACAACAGGAGAAATGCTACTCTCTCCTCATCACTGCTACTCCATTCCCATCCTCCCATTCTTTCCACCCAGCTCTCACCCTTTCCCTGTAGGTACCCAAAGTTTGTTTTTGGTTTATGTTTATTGCATTCCCCCCTACAATGTATATTTTCTTTTATCTCTTTTATTTTAGGAAGATATAATTCACATAACATTAAACTCCCTTTTAAAATGTTCAATTCAGTGGTTTTTAGTATAGTCAAGAGTTGTGCAACTATCACCACACTCTAACTTTAGAACATTTCCATCAACTCAAAAAGAAATCCTGTACCCCAGTTCTACCAGTTGCCCCAGGCAACCACTAATCTACCTTCTGTTTCTATGGGTTTGCCTGCTCTGGACATTTCATATAAATGGGATTATACAATACGTGGCCTTTTGTGTCTGATTTCTTTCACTTACTATATTTAAAAAAAATTTTTTTTTTTGAGACAGGGTCTTGCTCTGTCACCCATGCTGGGAGTGCAGTGGCATAATCATGGCTCATTGCAGACTGCCTGGGCTCAAGCAATTCTCCTACCTAAGTTTCTCGAGTAACTGGGATGATAGGTGCATGCCACCACACTTGGCTAATTTTTAAAAAATTATTATTTGTAGAGATGAGGTTTCATTATGTTGCCCAAGCTGATCTCAAACTCTCAAATGATCCCCTCACCTCGGTCTCTGAAAGTGTTGGGATTACAGGCATGAGCCAGGCAGTATACAATTTTCAAAGTCCATCTGTGTCACCGTATATACCAGTACTTCATTCCTTTTTATGATTAACATTCCAAGGTATGAAAATTCTACATTTTGTTTAGACATTCATCAGTTGGTAGAAACTTGACAGAAATTTCCACTTTTTCATTATCGTGAATAATGCTGCTATGAACACTCACAAACAAGTTTTATGTGAATAGGTTTTCTTACGTATATATGTAGGAGTGAAATTACTGTGCCATATGACAACTCTGTATTTAACTTTTTGAGGAACTGCAAAACTGTTTTCCAAACTGTCTGCATCATTTTACATTCCCAGGGGTATGAGTTTCAATTTCTCCATATCCTTGCCAATAGTTGTTATTTCCTTTTTTTTTTTTAAATTACAACCATGCTAGTGGGTGTGAAGTGGTGTCTATTTTGTGGTTTCAAAGTGCATTTCTCTAATGACTAATGATGTTGAACATCATTAGAACACATCTTCCCATGTGCTTAAAGGCTATTTATATATCTTGTCTAAAGAAATGTCTATTCAAGTCCTTTGCCTATTTTTAAATTGGATTATCTGTCTTTTTATTGCTGAGTTGTAAGAGTTCTTTATATATTCTGGATACAAATGCCTTATCAGATACATAATTTGCAAATATTTTCTCCCATTCTGTAGGTTGTCTTTTCACTTTCTTGATGGTGTCCTTTGATGCACAAATATTTCAGTGTGATGAAGTCCAGTTTACCTATTTTTTCTTGTTGCTTGTGGTTTTGGGGCCCTAACTAAGAAACCACTTATGAACTTGATGATGTAAGTGATGAAGAATGTATGCCTATTTTTCTTTTAAGTGTTTATTGTTTTAGCTCTTATATTCGGGACTTTGATATTTTTTGAGTTAAATTTTGAATATGATGTTAGGCAGGGGTCCAACTGCCTTCTCGTGCATGTGGACATTCAGTTGTCCCAGCACTGACAACTAGTGTTTTAGTTCTTCTCCTTCTAATGTTTTTTGACATATTACAAATTATTAAGGGCCTTATTAATCATAGATAAAGATGAGCATATTTCCCCGGCCATGCTTATTATCTTCCTAGTAATTATTCAAAGCGTCCAAGAATTGAACGTGAGAAGTTAAGCCTTGGTCCTAGCCCACAAGGTAGAGAGAATGATGTCCTGGTGACAGAGCTGTTCTAATTCAAAAATGGAGGCAGTGGTAAAAGGTAGGAGGCCATCAGTTCAGCCTCACTGGCTGGCTCCTTATCCTGTAGCTTTCAATCCTAATCTCTAATGGGTAAAGCCCAAAGGTCAGCTCTTCTTCTCTCCTACTCTGGCTTAAATTCAGTATTAATTAGCTGCTAACTAATTGCTGAGCTTCTATGGGTAGCTCAGGTTGATGCTGCACTCTTTCTAGTAATCTACCCAGGAGTCCAGTTGAACTGTACTTGTCTTTTTTTTTTTTTTTTGGAGAGAGAGTCTTACTCTGTCACCGACACTACAGTACAGTGGTGCGATCTCGGCTCACTGCAATCTCTGCCTCCTGGGATCAAACGATTCTCTTGCCTCAGCCTCCTGAGTAGCTAGGGTTATAGGCGCACGCCACCATGCCCAGCTAATTTTTGTATTTTTAGTAGAGACAGGGTTTCACCATGTTGGTCAGGCTGGTCTCAAACTCCTGACTTTGTGATCCACCAGCCTCAGCCTCCCAAAGTGCTGGGATTACAGGCGTGAGCCACTGCACCCAGCCAAACCGTACTTGTCTTTTAACTATTTTGCTTTGTCAATGATCTTGCTTTAACACCTCGGAATTGATCTACCAGGTGGATGTGGGGTAGGGTTGAAAAAAAGCACCCTTTCTTCTCATTATATAAGATATCATTACATTATCGAAATTTGAGGAAAAAAAATGAAGAAAACAAAAATCTCCTATATCACAATCCTCTGATATATTTTTTCCAGTTTTTGCTATGCTTTTATAAAATAAACTTGACATTATAATAGATATTTACTTTTATACTGTTTTTTCTCTTTCTTTCTTTCTCTTTCCTTCTTTTGTTTCTTTTCTTTCTTTTTCTTTTTCTTTTGAGACAGTCTCGCTGTGTCACCAAGGCTGGAGTGCAGTGGTGCGATCATAGCTCACTATAACCTCTTTGAACTTCTGGGCTCAGGCAGTCCTCCTGCCTCAGCCTCCTGAGTAGTTGGTACTATAGGTATGAGCCACCATGCCTGGATAATATTTTGAATATTTTTTGTAGAGACAGAGGCTCGCTATGTTGCCCAAGCTGGTCTCGAACTCCTGGTCCCACCTCAGCCTTGTTCTTTTCTTTTTGTTTTGCTTTGTTTTTTTGAGATAGAGTCTTGCTCTGTCACTCAGGCTGGGGTGCAGTGGTGCGATCTTGGCTCACTGCAACCTCTGCCTCCTGGGTTCAAGCAATTCTCCTGCCTCAGCCTCCTGAGTAGCTGGGACTACAGGTGCATGCCACTGTGTCCGGCTAATTTTTTTTTTATTTTAGTAGAGACGGGGTTTCACCATGTTAGCCAGGATGGTCTCAATCTCCTGACCTCATGATCCACCCGCCTTGGCCTCCCAAAGTACTGGGATTACAGGCATGAGCCACCTTGCCTGGCTTTTTCTTAACATTATAATATAAACATTCTCTCATTTAAAAATTCTTTTAAAACATTAATGAAAACAGAGATGTGTCTAATTTCACAAGGTACAAATTTTTTTACAAGGAGATTGGTTTTAGTTTTTTACTGTTACAAATATTTCCAAAATAAACATTTATGTACATAAATATTTTTTCCAGATAATTATTTTCTTAAGTTAAATGATCAGATCTAGAATTATCTGGACTAAACCTATCAATATAGTTAAGCTCTTGGAGAATATTGCCATATTGTTTTTCAAAAAGCTTGCTGTAGACCAGGCGCAGTGGCTCATGCCTGTAATCCCAGCACTTTGGGAGGACGAGAAGGGCGAATGACTTGAGGTCAGGAGTTCAAGAACAGCCTGGCCAACATGGTGAAACCCTGTCTCTACTAAAAATACAAATAATTACCTGGGCATTGTGGCAGGCACCTGTAGTCCCAACTACTCAGGAGGCTGAGGCAGGAGAATCACTTGAACCTGGGAGGCGGAGGTTGCAGTGAGCCAAGATGGTGCCATTGCATTCCAGCCTGGGTGACAGAGTGAGACTCTGTCTCAGAAACAACAACAACAACAAAAACCAAACACCTTGCTGTAATTTACACTTTCATTGACTGTTGTATGAGAGTGAGTACTCTTTTTACCCCAAAACATTGCACCTTAAGACAGGGTAAGAAGCAATATGATGAAAAGGAGGAGGTAAATGGCAAAGGGAGACCAGGCCATCACTTGAGAGAGAATATTCATTTCTGAGTTCTCTTCTTCTACATGAATATGTGATGGGGCTATTTTGCCATTCTGATTTTCTTGGAGGCTTTTAGCCTTGCCTTACTATGCATCTAGGGAAACAAAAGATCTTCAATCACAGGATGCTTTGGTGCTGCTGGCATTCAAACTTACCATTTGACAGGGAGGTGAAGGAAATTAAATTGCACAGTCTGGACACTTTGGAACATCCCTCCTCCCTCTCTCTTTTTTTCTCACCCTTCACATCTGATTGACAAATCCTGCCACTCTGCCTCCTCTCTGTCACCACCTCTCCATACCTATCAGATTCTCTAGTTCAGGCTGCCATCATCCTTCGCTTGCACAGAATGAACAAATTACCTACGGTCTATTTATTGAACAGTATACATACAGTACATACAGTAGTGAAAATCACTAGGGCTATATTTTTATTTTAAAATGCAGTTAGAGTTGTTATTACTTGGATGCATCTAAATTATCAAACTAAAATATCATGCCAAATTTGTTGTTTTCTTACAACTTTCTCATAGGTCTTTGCTGAGAAGACTTACTTGAGGTCTATAGCTATGTCTCTACAGTGTATCTACATCTCCATATGAAATAGAGCATTTCAGCTCTTTCGTACTCCATCATTGTGAGTGAAATTAAATAGCAAATTTCAAGCTGGTAGGGAATGGCAATGCTTGAGGAGGAGAGGGATCAAATGAAATGCCGAATTGTGAGGGAAATCCACCTTAACGTGATTCATGTCAAATTCAGAAATTTTAATATTTGTAGTAAACTCTCATGTCCACACTCTTCAGAGAAGGTCTGAGAGTCGAATACTGCTTAGAAGGCAAGGAAAATTGAGAGTAGAGAAATGCTGTGTTTCACCTCTGTTGCATGCATTTAAGAGGAAGAATGTATAAATAAATGGCAGACTTGGGTTACTTTGCTATTCTATTTTAGCTCCTATTTTTTGTCATTTTTCTTAATGTTTTCTTCTCTTTTATTGTAGTATCTTTTTTTTATACATGGTAACTATGGACAGCAGAATTTCTTACAAACTTATTTCCTGAAAGTAAAATGATATCCATTTTAGAGAATACTTGGTAATATCTTGTTAATTTGAAGATGCACATACCATGTAACCCAGAAATTGTACCTGTAGGTGTAAACCCTAGTGAAACTCTTGCACATATGCACAAGGAGACATGTACAAGTATGCAATTGCAACATTGTTGGTTATGTCTTCTATTAATACAAGAATGAACAAATTACCTATGGTCTATTTATTGAACAGTATACCATACAGTAATGAAAATAATGAACTAGGGCTACATGTATCAACATGGTGAGTCTTGAAAACATAATGCTGAGGGAAAAAGAAGATGGCATAAGAATACCAAGAGTATAACAGCATTTGAAACAGTGTGGCATAGTCATGCAGATGTTCTGGTGTCAGACTCACTTGGTTCAAACTTGCCTCTGTTCTTTCCTGACAGTAAGACCTTGGCACGTCTCCAACCTTGATCGGCCTCCATTTTCTTATCTGTAAAGTTGGGATAATATTTTGACATCTTATGGTTATTGTGAAAATTACAATATGTTAGTACTAAAGTAATAGGAATACATAGCAGGATTATATTTATGCAGTGCATATTCCATCTAAAATCATGCAAAACAATACTGTATTTGTATAAGAATGTGTATATGTTGGTAAAAGTACATACAGATAAATGTGAGAATGATAAACACAAATTCATGATAGTGGTTTTCTCCTGGAGGAAGGGATATTTCTTGAGCTGTAGTGGGTACATGATTGTTGTTACACTTTTTATGCCATTGTATATGACTGAACTATTTCATGATAAAATTTAAATCAAATGAATGAAATTTATTCTTAAAACTGTAAATACAGTGTAACCAAATTTCTGAGAAATCGGAAACGAGAGGAAAAACTCCAAATTATACCATCTTACCTCACAATTTTAAAAATTAAGCAATTTCTTCAACAACTGAGTGAGATTCGTGAATGAGAATGTTATTTTTGTAGCTTTTTTTTTTTTTTTTTTGGAGAGTCTCGCTCAGGCTGGAGTGCAGTGGCATGATGTTGGCTCAGTGCAACCTTCACTTCGCGGGTTCAAGTGATTCACCTGCCTCAATCTCCTGAGCAGCTGGGATTACAGCATGTGCCACCATGCCAGGCTAAGTTTTTAATAGAAACAGGGTTTCTCCATGTTGGTCAGGCTGGTCTCGAATCCTGACCTCAGGTGGTCCACCCACCTCAGCCTTCCAAAGCAGGATTACAGGCATGAGCCACTGCGCCTGGACAGCAGCATTCTTCATAAGAGCCAAAACATGGACTCAACCTGAATGGCCACCAACAGGAGAAGGGATAAACGCAATGTGGTATATCCATACAATGGAATATAATTTAGCAACAAAAGAGGAATGAAATGCTGATATATGCTACCACTTCAGTGAAATTTAAAATTATTATGCCCAGCAAAAGGGGCCAGACACAAAATGATTCCATTTGTAGGAAATGTCTAGAAAAGGCAAATCTGTAGTAGTGAAGAGTAGACTAGTGGTTGGCTGGGGCTGAGAAAGGAACAAGGAGTACCTGCAAATGAGCATGAAGGACTTGGTGGGGGGTGATGGAAATATACTACAACTCAGTGGTTGTGATGATTGCAGAACTTTGTATAATTACTCAAATGAACTGCATTGTATACTTAAAAGGGTGAATATTGGCTGGGCGCGGTGGCTCATGCCTGCAATCCCAGCACTTTGGGAGGCCGAAGGGGGTGGATCACAAGCTCAGGAGTTTGAGACCAGCCTGGCCAATATGGTGAAACACTGTCTCTACTAAAAATACAAAAATTAGCTGGGCGTGGTAGCGGGCGCCTGTAGTCTCAGCTACATGGGAGGCTGAGGGAGGAGAATTGCTTGAACCTGGGAGGCAGAAGTTGCAGTGAGCTGAGATAGTGCCACTGCACTCCAGCCTGGGTGACAGAGTGAGACTCTGTCTTAAAAAAAAAAAAAAGAAAAAAAAAGGTGAAAATGATATGTGTCAAGAAAGCTGTTTTAAAAAGCAGCCTTGGCTGGGCGTGGTGGCTCAGGCCTATAACTCCAGCATTTTGGGAGGTCAAGCTGGGTGGATCACTTGAGGCCATGAGTTTGAGACTAGCTTGGGCAGGATGGTGAAATCCCGTCTCTACAAAAAATTCAAAAATTAGCCAGGCATGGTGGCAAGCAACCGTGGTCCCAGCTACTTGGGAGGTTGTGGTGGGAGGACTGCTTGAGCCCAGAAGGCAGAGATTGCAGTGAGCCAAGATCACACCACTGTACTCCAGCCTGGGTGACAGAACAAGACTTTGTCTCAAAATAAATAAATAAATGGTAAAACTGCAATCCTGCCCTCCGCCCCCCAACAACCTCCCTATTCCTCCCTCCTTGATGTATTTTTTCTCCATAGGACTATTTCTATGCCCTACACTCTATGCCCTCCTTCTCCATTTGTTTACCATTTTTATTTATTTTGGGTTCATCTTCTCATCATAGCTTCTTACAAACATAAGTATATATGTATATATTTTCATATCCCTTCCTGCTTCATGTACTAAAGGTGCATGCTATAAGCACCATTCTGAACCAGTTATCCTGGAGCTACATGATCTCCATCTCTTTCCTTTTCACTGATGCACAGTCCTCCATCACGTGGATGTATCATAGTTTTTTAAAACTAGTCCCACATTGATAATTTTGGGTTGTTCTCAGTCTTTTGCTATTGCAATAATACCATAATAAATAGCTTTGTGCATAGGTCTTACACATCTTACCCCACAATTTTGAAAATTAAGTAATTTCTCCAACAACTGAGTGAGATTGGTGAATGAGAATGTTATTTTTGCAGCATTATTATTATTATTTTTGAGACAGAAACTCACTCTGTCACCCAGGCTGAAGTGCAGTGGCATGATCTCGGCTCACTGCAGCCTCCACCTCCTGGGTTCAAGCAATTCTCCTGCCTCAGCCCCTCTAGTAGCTGGGATTACAGGTGCCTGCCACCATGCCCAGCTAATTTTTGTATTTTTTAGTAGAGATGGGGTTTCACCATGTTGGCCAGGCTAGTCTTGAACTCCTGACCTCAAGTGATCCACCCACTGCAGCCTTCCAAAGTGCTGGGATTACAGGCGTGAGCCACCATGCCTGGCCCAGGCTATGCCTACTCTTAAAGGGGACCTTGTGCAACATGATGATGTAGCTCTGAATGCATCAAAGGTGAAGCAATAGAAAGGCATGTCTTTTATCTTGGCTGTTGGAGAGGTTGGGGAAATTCACTGCCTCTCATGTAGCCTGCAATCCCCCCTTTGAAAAGCAATACACACATTCCAGCTGTCCTATAGTATACACATACCCTCTCCCTGCCAAGATAAATACATTTAACACCATGATCTGCCCTGCTGTTACTGCACAGCAGAATTTTGGTGGTTTACTGTAACATCATTTGAGCCCAATATTCAAGTACTCAGTAAGCAGAGTTGTTAACTGATACCTGCATCTGACTCAAGGTGGACTAAATACCAGGATACATCTCTTGATCAACTGACATCAGCTGTAAAAATAGGCAGTAGAAAAAGCTCAAAGAATTTGGGAGGATTGTTGTGGTAGGGAAGAGGAAACAAGTCCTCTAATAATGCAGGTAGATGAACATGCCCACAGACAAAGTAGCTCTGTTGGCCACTACTTCATTTGTAGGTGCCCTATGTGAAGTAAACCATACCCACTGATAACAGGGAGCCACCGGTGCCATACCCGACTATTCATCTCCAACCTGCCCTGTCCAACACCTTGCTCTCATTTCTCTAGACTAGAGTGAAGATGTGCGATGAAGGCGATCTGGTTTCTAGGAACTATGGGAAGATAGAATCTGATTACACAATGGTGGACTCTTCTGCATTAGGGAGCTTTGCAGATTGGGCTCTAGTCCAGCAGATCTGGTTACCAATTTGTCTCAATGCTGGAAACTCACAATCCCGCCAAGGCACAGAATCCCTAACCCTTAAATGCAACTGTTTCTTCCAAATGCCCTGCTACAAAGGGCATGGAAACAAAGGTTGCAACTGCCTGCAAAGACTTCCTTTTGGCATTCACAAAGAATCACCCTCTCATCTAGCATTGAATCCAGTGCTCCTGGCGTTCATTTGGTTCCCTGGCCTTATACTTTGGCTTTTCAGATCTGCTTCTAATCTTATTTCAGGACCCGTTCAAGTTTTTCTTCTCTGGTGTATAGGCCCAGGACTCTTGCCAGTAAATTCTGACTCTCATATCTTCTTGCTTTGTTGATTGTGGTGGCACTACTACCCTGGGTAAAAGACTCCTTCCACTAACTTCTGCCCCCATAAAACTCCTACAGGCTGGGCTAGTTCACTAACCTTTGCAATGAGAAGCTCAGATGCTGAAGCTTTATTTTTATTTTTATTTTGACACAGAGTCTTACTCTGTCGCCCAGGCTGGAATGCAGTAGCGGAATCTAGGCTCACTACGACCTCCACCTCCTGGGTTCAAGCAATTTTCCTGCCTCAGCTTCCCAAGTAGCTGGAACTACAGGCACGCACCACCACGCCTGGCTAATTTTTTTGTATATTTAGTAGAGATGGGGTTTCAACATATTGGTCAGGCTGGTCTCGAACTCCTGACCTCAAATAATCTGCCTGCCTCAGCCTCCCAAAATACTGGGATTACAGGCGTGAGCCACTGTGCCCGGACACTGAAATTTCACTTTAGCAAACTGCTGACTGATGGGTCTCCCGGCATTCCTACCTATCTCTCTAGTACCTGGAGTACTGCCCAAATATACAGCCAACTTTCGAGTAAGAGAACCAGGAACTACCTTCCTCTCTAAGGAACTGATTCCTTCAGTGCTGGGTTCCAGAGGTGCTGAGACATCAAAATTGGCAAACTTGCTCTTAGAGGGAGAAGATTGAGTTGTTGGGTATCACAAAGGCAATGACCCTTAAGTTCTCAACATTGTTCCTCAATCCCCACCCCAGAGGGTGGTTAACTAGGTATTAGTACTCTCTTAAGTAAAAGAATGGAGAACTCATCATGCTCATGGGCCAAAGATGATTGTGAGCGCAATTCTGAAGTCAGACCAGCTGGGTTCAAATTCAGCTCCACTACCTCCTGGCTATGGGACTGGAAATTATCTAACCTCTCTGTGTTTCAGTTTCTTCATTTGTAAAATGCAGATGATGATGATAACAGAAGCTACCTCCAAAGACTATTGTGAGTTTTAAATGAATTATTACGTGTCATAAAAGTGGTCAATAGCTATTAGTTACTATTATTACTGGGCCAATTTGGAGACCTGGATATTTACAGAATTAAACTTCCAGGGCACATATAACTTTGTTTACATAAGAAGGATGATGAATAGAAAGTAACTTTGTGAACATACTTGGTCAAACTGAATAACTAATGATGTCCTTCAGTCTGTGTAATACTCCAGGGGTACCCAAAGACTCAGAAATGGAATTCTCTACA